AGCAGGCTGGAGACCCGGGAAGAGCAGATGCTGCAGTTCAGATGCAAAGGCCATCTGCCCAGCGAATTCTTTGGTGCTTGGGGAAGGTCAGTCCTCTGTGCATTCAGACCTTCAACTGCTTGGATGAGGCCCACCCACATTACAGCGGGTCATCTGCTCTACTCAAAGTCCAAGTTTAAATGTAAATCTCATTCAAAAAACACTGTCATAGAAACATCTAGAACAATGTTTGGCCAAATATATCGTGCCCCGGCCAACTTGACACATAAAATTTGCCATCACACACGGTCTAACCAGCAGGAATGACTATACCTGTTAAAGCAACGTCCAAGCACTTTCCTCTAGGTGAGGCCTCAGGCTCTTCTGCCAAGCCTGCTGGCTCAGATCCATAAGCCAGCCTGGCTCACAGTCCCAGCAACCTTTGTCATCTGGATTCACAAACCTGGGCAGATGAGAAACAAAGCAAGGAGGTAGGCAGTGAGGATTCGCTAGAGGCAGACGCCAGAAACAGTGAAGAGGGACTGCTCACAAGCTGCAAGGAGGAGACAGAGATCTATAAAAAGTAGACAGAAGAACTATAAAAGCCCAGCAGCCTAGGGCTTTGGAGTGTTAGGACAAATTGTTCTGCCTGCTTCATGGAGTGAGGCTATAATACAGTCCAGTACAGCAACTGATGTTCTTAATAATATACCTGGCTCTCTAAATAACACAGTTGGATTAGGGCTTTTTACAAGTACAGCTGTTAGAAGGGGTAGGATGGAAGGAAAAGGGAAGTTTTAAAAAAGGGAAGGGCATGGTAGTCACTGGCTGAATATGTCACCCTCACCCCCTTGCTCACTCCTGCATGGGGAATAGAATAAATTATCTATTGGCTCTTTTTAAAAATTGGTCGTTCCCCCTTTCTCAGGGCAATGGTATCCATATTTCATTTTAAGAGAACTATGTTCCCCATTCTTAGGTGTATAACTTGGGTGAGATTGATACCACCCCTTCTCCAGGGGTAAGTCTTACGGCTTAAGCCGATCTAAACATGCCATCTGCCCTTCTGACCTCAGTTCAGAGAGAAGCATGAACCTAAACTGGCATTGCTGTGATGCAAGGGGATGTTTGCTGGGGGGCTTCTGAGAAAAAAGATACTTCCTTTCCCACTCTCCTTGGGTGATGTCTCCCAAGAATGTGGTCCAGAACTGATGTAGCCATTCCACTCCTGTGAAGGGGCAGCCTGGATCTTACATGTAAGGCAGAGGGGACAGATGAAGAGAAGTTGGATTCTTATAACATCATTTGGGCAGCTGGATCAAACCTCACCTGCAGCTGATATAGGGTTTTAATTTATATATGCCAGTGGACTCCTCTTTCTGATTAAGCTAATTTGAACTGATGTGGGGCTATTCGCAATGAAATGATGCCCGACTGACAGAATGTTGAACGAGGATAGAATTGTGACTAGAAACAAATGCATTGAAGGGTGTTCCAACCATAACAGTACTAACCATATCAGCCAGAGCAAAACGTACCAAGTACATTCATATGTTCCAGAAGCTCTGCCTAGTTCTTGATTTAATCCTCCGGAAAACCACAGGAGGTTGGTGCTATGATTATTTCATTTCAGACGCAGTGGCTGAAGCTCAGAGAAATTAATTGACTTAAGGTCACACAGCTGGGAAGTGGGCTGAACAGGTCTACAAGTGTGCTCTTCTCATGCCTCCTGTCTTCTCACCTAAGCCTCCAGGCAGACGAGTGAAAAGAGGAAGGGTGTAAGAGCCGAAAGAGCACGGTCAGAAGGGAGTGGACCTGTGCAGTGGCGAGGGGGAAGGCGAGGCAGGCATGAGGCTAAGAGGCTGCTGGCGCTCAGCGGTGACATGGTTTGGATGCAGCCATTACTATTAAGCAACAACGCACTGGTTCAGTTTCGAAGCAGCTCAGGACCTGCCAACAGAGCAATCCCCAACCGCTTCGCAGGTTCAGAATGGGTTTTGTCAGGGTTGATGTTTAGAGGGATGTCACCCTGGTTCTTTGGCTTCTTGCTTGGAAGAATCGCAAGCAGGGCCGGTGTGACAGAGTGATGACAGACACTTAGCACTTCCACACGAGCAGCAGCTTTCATCGTGGGCTTGTCAGCGTAGACTGGAAAGCGAAAGTACGTTTCCTGGCAGGGAAACGGGCCCATCTCCACGAGTGGAGAAGATGCTGGGGTCTTACCACACTTCTACTTCTATGTCTACACTTTATGACATGCTAAATGGTGGGGGGAATATTCATTATTTCTCTGGGGAAAGGGTGGAGAGTTCTTAGAGCTAAGGGTCCTCCCTACTTTCATCCTTATAGGGTAACTTCCAGGGGTTGCCATGACAATAGTAAACTGTCTTGGCACTGGTGGGTGTGGTTTTTACTATGCTAATGTATGTTAATAGGGAAAAATGTAGCCTCTGGACATGAGCGCCTAGCTTCTGCGCATGCTCCTGGCCGGGAAAAGTCCCTAACCTCAAGTTCCTGCTGTTGTGGGTTTGGTTCTAAATGCTCATTGGCCTCCTCATTTTTGCCCCCCTCCTCTTTTCCTGTGGTTAGTGCCGCCAACCTGCACCTGTCCCTAATAGGTTTATCTTATCAAGATATTCCTAGCTTGTTTATTCATGCATCAGCCATTTGAGTGTCTATGCAGCAAGCAGCCTGCTTGGCGAGCAAGATGGTCAAGGTAACTGCTCTCACAGATGTGATAGTCGGGCTGGGAAAGACAAAAGTCATCATAGAATGACAGCTGTAAACATGTCATTAGCAACTGTGCAAAGTGCATTAAGGGACAAGAACAGAATGCTGTGACAAAGAATGAGGGAGACCTAGTTTAGATTGGGAGACTGTGCACGTGTGTAGGGTAAAGCCTCTCCATGGAAGTGTCACAGGCCTTGATGCGCAAATGGGCTTTTGCTCAGCAGAGAGGAGGCATTCTAAGCAGAAGGACCAGCACATGCACAGGGGGAAATCGATTTGTATGTTTCATGAACTGAGAACCAGTTTGGCTGCAAAGTTAGTGGGCGAGAGATAGGAGGGGACATGACCATGCAGGGCATTGAGGCCACCATTAAGACTTTTGCTTCTGTCACTTGTTCCTTTCTTCACATTTCCTGAGACTCCTCCTCTGGGCCAGGTCAAATTTAGGGAATAGGAATAGAGTGGTTATATAGGAATATAGTGGTAATAACAATGGCTAATATTCATTGAGCACTTACCATTTGCTCTTAGAACTAAGTATTATAAGTACTTTGACACATGAACTCCTCTAATCCTATGACTTAGATGCTACCATTATTCCCATTTGACAGGTAGGGAAACTGAGGCATGGACAAACTACATAATTTTCAAGATCATACAACCAGTAAGTGGTAGAACCGGGATGACCCAAGCAGTTTGACTCCAAAATCGATAGGCATTTATGCTCATAGCCACTATGTTTCATGTGTGCCTCCTGTCCAAGTTTAGAGAACAGTAGTCCTGGCCATATTAGCCACTCAAACAGTGTTTCAGACATAGGCAGCTAATTTAGAACAGAACTCCCCAGATTTGGCAGATCATAAGAGCTCCCCTGGAGTGCTTCTTAAAAAGATCATTTTTTAAAAAAGATTTTATTCAATAGGTCCAACCTGGAATCTGTATTTTTAACAAGTTTGACAAATGCTGTCTTAGTAACTCAGTGCATCGGCTTTTGAGCTGGACAGATCCTAGTTTGGGTGGCTTGCAGCTTTACTATTTTTCTAGATGTTGTTATTGAACCAAACTGGGGTATGCTTGCCTGCCCTAGCCAAGCCAAACACTTAAGCTGAGAGTTGCAGCAAGAGAAAGGCATTTTTATTGCAAGCTGCCATTGCAAGGAGAAGGAGCAGCTAATGCTTAAAACTTGAACTCCCTGATGGCTTACAAGCGCGGGTTTTTAAAGGCAGGGGTAAATTTCGGGAGGCCCTGGTCCCCAAAAGGGGAGATTTTTGAAGTGGGGTGAGGGATGGAATTGGTGAATTCACAGATTCTTCAATTAATGGAAAGGGGGAGATCTAGAGCAAAGAATGGTGCTCAGAGTTCATTTCCTCAGTTTCCCCTTATCTACAGGTTCTATCTGGTGGGGGTTTCTAAAAACCAGCTCAAGAACGTACGTTAAGATGCCATCTTTCAGTTTCCATAGGGAACCCAAACACCTCCTGTCTGGCTCGCTTGGAGGGCCACTGTTCTCACCTGGTTGCCCCTTCACTTTTCAAGGCTAGCCAGGTGATCAGAACTTCCCCTGAAGGAACTCAAGATTTTCCTTTATTTCCCCTGCTCCATCTCAATGTGCGCCACCTTTGTGCAAGTCGCTTCATCTCTCTGAGCGTCCGTCTCCCCACCTGCTGAAAGTTGCTAATGACAGCATTCCCTCCTAGGGCTGTTGTATGGATTGAGTGAGCTGCATGCAAGGCGCTTAGCGCGGTGCCTGGTGTGTAGCAAGTGAGGATAACAATAGAATGATAGGGATGACTGGGAAGTTCGAGCTGTCCCAAGGTTAAGTGTCACATATCACAGCAGACTCCTGGGAGGACTGTTTTGAGACACGGCCAGGCCCTTTTGATCTTATACTAGAGTTGTCAGGTAAAAAATCAGGACGCCCAGTTAAATTGGAATTTCAGATAATGAAAAAAAAAATTTAGCATAAGTATCTCCCAAATACTGCATGGGATATACTTATACTAAATCAGTCACTGGATTTTTTTTTTTTTTATCTGAAATTCCAACTTAACTGGATGTCTTGTATTTTCCCGTGTTAAATCTGACCACCTTTCCCTGGGGGAAATGACTGACCCCAAAGCCTCAGCCCTTCTGCCCACGTGGGCCCCAGACACGAGGTCGGTCTCCCCGCGCCAGGCGCCCAGGTCGATCCCAGAGGGGCCAGCCGCTCGCGCCTCCTCCCCGCCCAGGCAGCACTAGTGGCGCCCCGAGCGGCCGAGCCCCGCCCCGCCCCGTCCCGCCCCAGGCAGAGGGCGCCTCCCGGAGCCGGGTAGGCCAAACGGTTGGGCAGTGCGGAGTGCCGCTGCTTCCGCCCACGCGGTGTGCGCAGGCAAGGCCAGACGCCCACTCGCCATGTCAGTCGCGGAGGCGGGGGGTGCTTTCCACAGAGCCCGGGGCAGGACCCTGGACGCGTTTCCCGCAGGTACCGCCGGAGCTTCTCCCGGGGAGGGGATTCCGGGGCTGCGGAACCTTCCGCCGGGGGAACCTTCGGCGTCGGCGCGCGCGCGCCTCCAGCCGGGCCCCCTCCGAGGCTGCACCGCGGCGTGGGGACCGCCATGGCTGCATCGCCGCCCGCAGTTAGCGCGCCCAGGGGCGCTGTGGAGGGGCGAGTGCGAGTGGGAGCCTCGCTGGCCGTGACCTAGCTTCCCCGAGAGAAGAGAAGTAAGAGGAAGGCAGGAAAGCGTAACGATAGCTTGGGCTCCGCAGTTAGTCCTGGTTTCCGAGCTTTTGCTTTGGCTGCGTTCCCTCAGCAAGCCGTGGCCTCAGCTTCCTCATCTGTAAAACGGGAATACTAGTGAGGTGATGGGTGGCGCTGGATAAGGCGCTCGGTGCATGTTAAAGGCTGTTATTTTTATCAAGGTGCACCGTCATGCACTTTATACTCCGTAATTACAGTTATTTACTATCATGCGAGTCATTCACCGAAATGTTAACGGTGCCCAGCAAACGGTAGAGAGGGACGGCAGTCTTAGCGTCGTGGTCGAATTAAGTGCTTGGATTTTGGAGTTAATCTGCCTCGCTGTAAAAATGGGCTTGATAATACCTGCCGCATAGGGTTGTTGGAAGCGTGGACAGATCAAAGGTATTTCTGTGGCCTAGTGTCAGACACCTGGCTAGATGCTAAGCGAATGTTAGTCTTTGAGTTGTGTAAGTCAAGAGTGGGGTTTGTTTCTGGTTCCTTGGTTCCCTTCTGTAGCTCTTTTGCTATCTGGAGTCAAACTGCCTCCCAGGCACTCACCAGCTTTATCACCCCATGGAAGTCATCCCCTATGCCCTGCGCAGTCTGGCCGGTGTCGTCCACATTTCTTCACGCTTGCCACTCTCTCCCTTGCTCAGTTCTCCTGCCACACCGGTTTTTATTTGAACTGCATCAAAAAGGGCCAAGGCCTTATTTTCATGAGAGCCTTGGCACCTACCTTGTCTGCTCCCATGGTGGGGCTGGTGAACCTGGCTCCTTCTCAACCTTCACACCTTATTTTAAGGTTCATTTACTTTCCCCCAGAGACTTTCCCTGGCTGCCCCATCTTAAGTAGATTTCTCCTGTAGTCCTGTGCTAGAACCGTATTTGTTTCCTTTTTTCTGACTCTTGGTGGGGGAATAGCAAGGTTCTGGGAATTTGGGGAAACAGTCTACCGTGGTGCCTTTCTCTACCTACAGTCGGCCTTCTGTATTTGCTGGTTCTGCATCCTCAGCCAACCAGCTGCGGATTGAAAATATTTTTTGGGAAAAAATAACATTACAGCAATAAAAAACTAGTGATGATTAAGTATATAGGAGGATATGCATAGGTTATATGCAAACACTATGCCATTTTGTATAAGGATACCATGGATTCTGTTGTCCTTGGGGGTCCTGGATCCAGTCCCCCTCAGATACTGAGGGATGACTGTATTATGGGCAGCTTGCCTTTTTCACTCATGAAGTTTTTGAGATTTATTTGTATCGATATAAATAGCTCTACTTCACTCATTTTCCTGCTGGGCTATATATACTTTATAGTCTGTTGATGGCTATGTTGAATATCTTCCCTCTCATTTCCAAATCTTTCCCCTTCCCCACCATGCCTCAGGGGGTTGACCTCTATGGGCTACATCAGTGGGCTCCTAGCTTTCAGATTTCCCCCTGAGTTCTGCCAGTGGTGAAGCCTGACCTGAGAGATTAGAGGCTGGGGGAAGCCAAAGTCTGCGCATTTATTCCCACAGTGTACTTCCTGTGGGGAAGTTGCCTTGGGCTATCTGTACTCCTCCCCTCAAGGTCACTCCTCTTAAGACGACCTTTTACTCAGACACCCTTTCCATATTTGGGTAACCACTTCCTCCTTTGCTCCCTTGAGGTGTGGGAGTGGCAACGGCTCTGCTTTTCTACCTTTGGAATACTTAACTCTCCCTTGTATTTTCCCTACACCTAACGCATTCCAAGTAATCCTTTTGTAAACCCTCCTTTAAATGATCCTAATTTGAGTATGCGACTGTTTCCTGCAAGGATCCTGACTGATGCAATGGCATTGAGTTTCTGTGTTTTCATGCTGCACAAGTCTCTGTGGAGCCATGGGAGAGTTTCTCCAGGGCATATACCCAGGAGCCAAGTTCCGGGTTGTGGGGTATAATCATCCGCAGCTTTACTAGATATGGTCAAATTGCCTTCCTGAGTGGTTGCACTGATTTATACTCCTGCTGGCAATGTGTGGGAGTTCCCTGTTACTCTGCTGTATCCTTTTTTTTTTTTTTTCCAGTTTGAGAAATACTTATTTCCTATTGCATTCTCTAGTATCTTGCGTGAGGGGAGTCGTTATATGCCCTCAGAGGCTCATAACCTAGGCACAGAGCTTTGGCACAGAAAATAATTCTTGGCAGTTGATGGTCTCTGAGGGCCACGGCAGTGGCTAGACTCAGGATTTTAAGTTTGGTCCTGGGTGACAGTAGGGCTATTAACTGAAAATCAGGGAGTAAGGAGTAGGGTCAGGTTTGAGGAGATGGATTTGAGGTGCCATCAGGAATTCTAAGGCAATCTGTGAGTGCCATTGCGGAGGGGGAGTAGATGGTGTCGCTATAGGAGTCAATGGCATTGCTAAGGGGCAAAGTGTAGCATGGCGGGTGGTGTGTGTGTGTGTGTGTGTGTATAAGCTTAGAACACGCAGGTATTAGGGGCGAGACCAGGCCACATGGAGGGCTCAGTGCAGGAACAACCAGAAATTCTAGAAGATAAAATCAAGAGCTGGCCTTGGCACCAAAGCCAGGAAGGAGGGCTCAGGCAGGGTGGTGCACAGGGTCAGATGTTGCGGAGGTTTAGGGCAATGGAAGCTGAGCAGAGGATGGTGCATTTGATTGATGGGGGACCTCTTCAGGGGAATAGTTTCCGTGGCGTTGTCGTGGAAAGCCTGGTGCACAGTGTTTAAGGAGTGGATGGGGATGAGGATGTGAAATCAGCAGGGGTAGGGTTCTGTTGGGAGCTGTTTGGTGTTGCAAGGTAGACATAGGATAGTAGCAACTTATGGGAGGAACAATGCTAAAGGAAGGCTTTTTTGGAAAAGGAGAGCCTCAAGTTGAAGGTGTGGAAGTTTCCTAGCCCGTTGGAGCTGCCACAGGGCCACCAGTGGGACCAGAGAACCAGAGAGCACGTCCTCTGGACAGGAATGGGGTTAATGGGGAGAGATTGAGATGATCAATCGACAGGACACCTGCTTTGCTGCGATAGGAAGAGAGAGCATGACCCTGGACTTTTCTTAGCACTCACTAAATCTCGACGTGGGGCTGTGCTTGATCTCCTCTGTGGGCCAGGCAGTCCCAGGAAGCATGCCAGGGGTGGGCCATTTAGCACAGGGTCTTTAGAGGCCCACCCTGAGTGTCAGGCTGAGAACCCCAGTCTTACTGGTTCACTGCACTAAGTGCTGCATCCCAACCCTCTGTGGGTTCCATTGTGCTCATTGACTTTCCCCTGGGTCCTAACTCTCGGTTAGCATCACTGGCCACTTGGACAGGTGCCCTAAGGTACCTACTGCCAGTGTAGGCTCTGTGGGAAGGAATAGCCTCAAGCCAGTGGAGTTGCCCCAAGGGTGGACTCAGAAAGTGAGGGAACTGGCTTTTCCCCTTCTCTTGCCAAAACACACAATGCCCATCAAAGGGGTTCGTTTAACTCATGCAACTATGCCTAAAACCACAGCTCTGTTCTGAAAACCCCCATCCATAATTAGCTGCTTAAACAGTTTGTTTCTCAAGTGAAGCCTGTCAGTCACGCGAAAGAGCTCTTTACTTTAAGACAGTTTCCCCCACCAGCAATTTCCTCCACCAGTGATTGACATGAGTAGCAATGTTCCCATCAACGTCTTCCAATAGTATTAGGTGTGAAGCTTGGTTTCAGTCATCTGTTCCCTGTTAACATAATCTGTTAGGCTCTGTCGACAGATGTTTGTAAAAAATAAATTGTACATGTCTCACCTGAGGAGACGCACATTCCTAAGGCATGTTCAGATAGTCATTCTAATTAGGCAAATTGATAATTATATTGCCTTGACACATATCCTAATTAGGACTACTTTCTCCTAGTAAATAACTGTCTTTGGAGAAGTTTACCTTTTTTTTTTTTTAAGAATCTCTGAAAGGGAGACATAATCAAGATAAAATGTGTTTTTAAAATGACTTATATTTAATTATTTTTAGGTCTTGTTTTTCCGGTTCCGTTTGCCACCAGAATATTTTCCCTCTCAGAGAACAGGGCTCTTGGGTGGTATTCTTAAAAAGATTATTTTCCGGGACATTTTAAACCTCTGCAGCTATTTCCTAGGAGCTGACTGTATTCCCTAATCCTGAGTATTTCTTGGTCCTCTCTAGAAACCTCATGTGGCAGAGAATAAATAGAGTCTCAGTGAAAAATAATGCTTTCCATCTCTTGTGGGTCTCACCTTAGAACTTTTCTAGAAATAATACACCTGGAAATGCTTATTCAAGTTTGAACAGTGTTGAAAATAATGTGGTTTAAAAAATTTTAGCAGGATGGTGATGAAGGTGAAATGAATGTTTTTAATTGTGATATATACATTTAGGCCAAACTAGTTCTCTCTCATTTGATGAAATGTGACGAAATAGGACTGTGATGAAATAGGATTTTGCATTATTTGTCACCTCCTCATTGTAATCATCACTCAAGAGGTAAGGTGACCAGCACTTATTATTACGTAAAAAGTTCACTATAATGTTTCCAAAAGACAAATTTATCTATGGCTTTTTAATTTATTGTTTTTTGCTTTTTTATTTTTTAATAACTTTATTGAGGTCTAATTTATATACAATAACATTCATTTTTGTGTCCAGTTAAAGAGTTTTTAGTAAATTCACAGAGTGGTGCAGTCACAGTCTAACTTTAGAGCATCTTCCCCTTCCCAAAAAAGAAGAGTTATACCCACATACAGTCTTCATGTTCCCCTAG